GAGGACACTATCAAAACAGCCTTAGTATTGAGTTAGAATAATGAGTGGCCACATATCCAACAAAAATAAATAGTATGGCATACAGAGCATTTCACATACACTAGTGATTTGTTCTTTTGAAACAAAAGTTAACAATCTTCGGAAAATATTCTTGAACAAAAACTCTGTGAAAAATACTCACAGTGAAAGAGGGGACCGATTCAAGTGAGCCTTCACATTAAAAAAATAAAGGAGAAAAAACTGCTCAAGAACGAGATGAACGAATAGGGTAGATTGATACTGCAATTACAGTCCAGTATGTGCATATGAAACGCCAGGACACTGCGCCCAGGAGCGCTAGTTCGTATTATAGCGCAGACCAAAGTCTCGATGGACGTGAGGTTCCAAAACCACAGGAACCAGAATAGAATCCTGATAGTAATTAATAACAAACGAAGTGGGAAGGTTTTAAACGGAAGGCGTCGGAGGGACTGTGATTAGTTTAATGAAGTGGGTTATCGAAACATTACGATTCAGGGGAGTGATAATTAATGTAAATGTAATATGGAGAAAGTTCTCTAAATTCCTTATGGTTCTTTCTCAATGTCGTCTAAAATGCTTCTCGGAGATAATGAGGAAAATAAAAGTTTAATCGAATGAGTGTTAAGATACACGCGCAATCTTCGCTTGAAAGCAGATAGACTAGTTGACAACCTAGTATCAATTGGCAGGTTACAACAGATAAAGCTACATCTGGAAGCAAAGAATAGGGAGCGGTTAGAATGGGCAGCAGTATTAAAGAATAGGAAGGACAGGCATACAATTAAATCTTACTTTAAGTTCAGAAAAGTAAACATTATAAGAAATAAAACTGCAAACTTGGACAGGTTTGGCCGTACTTTTATCGGCGTGAGGCGAGAGAGCTAATTTATTGGTGTAGAGTAAACCTTTGTCATTTTTAGTGGAAAGTTAACTAACTTGACTGCCTTTAAAATACCTAGTCGCGGAAGCCTTTCGAACACAAAGCACATGTAATGACACTTTGAAGACCAGAATGGTATTTACTATTAGAGCTCCACACGGAATACTTAACGGTAAGATGAAGATGCGATTATAGACGGTTGCATAAAGTATAATTTTAAGGACTAATAATGGAAGTGTTAGTTATTACAAGAAAGTGGACATAGTACGAAATACAAAAATTTATGTCGGACAAAATAATAAATCATGGATCCAGACTTATTGAGTTAGATTGATCCTTTAAATGGAGGAATCCAAGTTGCGCTAGTGGGTCCCCGGTTCCCTAAAGGAAGTTACACTTACCTGGTTCAAATAAGATAACGCTCTCGAAACTGCTTGGCTGTGATGATTGAGAAGTGCTTTGTTTGTCTTAATAAAAAAACGGTGCCACACTTGAAAGTTGCTCTAGTGCCAATTATTGGTGGCTTGATATATATATCAAGTTTTTTGAGGCAATGGCAA